CCCCCCCCCCCCCCCCCCCCCGCCTGTTCCCTGGCCCGCCCTGGCCCCGCCCCCTCCCACCACCCCAGCTGTCACCTCTTCCAGAGCCCAGGCAGGCAGTGGAGGCAACAGCAGAGGCAGCCACGCCAGGAGCGAGAGCAGGGCTGGGGACAGGTAAGGGCTCCCCCAATCCCAGCCCGTTCCCCCTGCCCCCTTGTCCCCCACAAGTCTCCGGGTCCCTCTCTCTCTGTTTCTTAGCCCATGCCTTGGTCCCTCTGTCTCTCTGTGCCCACAGTCTCTAGACTCCTTTCCGTCTCTTGGTATCTCTGTCTCCATGTCTCCCTCCACGTCTCTATCTTTTCTTTGTCTCGTAGCTCACGTTATTTCTCCATCTTTTGGTCTCTGGTCTCTTGCTGTGTGTCTCATTCAGTCTCCATTTCTCTCAGTCTCTGTATGTCTGTCTGAGGCCTCTCTGACTCCCTGTCTGTCTTTCCCCAGCTCCCTTTGATCTTCCCTGCTTCTGCCTTGTCCTCCACACTGCACGGTGAAGTGGGGTGGGGGGGGGGGCGCTTAGACCGATTTCCAGACATCGAGGCCCCTGCAGACCTAAGCCCAGGGTCTGACGCCTCTCGAGTCCCTAAGGAGAGGGTTGTCCCATTGATTCTGGGCCTTATACACAGGGGGAAAGTTTTAAAAGGTCGGGTTCCCACGGCGATTTGAAAACCCTTTGGGCTCAGAGAGTGGAAACTCCCAGGGTCATTTTAAGCTCCGTGCCTCACGGTCTCTGTGTCCTCCTCTCCGAGGCCGGCCCCAGGTCCCCCGCAGTCCCTAGGTCTAGACTCCGGGGGACATTAGCGCTTCGGCCCAGCGCCGCTCTAGGGCAACCCAACCGCGCCCTCTGCAAACAGCCCCTTCCGCCGCCGCTCCCCCAGCAACGGTGGGGGCCGGGCCCAGGAGTCACGTGTTGGATCCCGGCCTCGCCCACTCCTCACGCTCCCCACTCCCCCGTCCCCAAATCATCGCGCGTGGGGGCGGGGGGCTTCCTCCGAGTCCACTCATACGAACCCAGGGAGCCAGGTGGCGCCGGGGCTGGGGGGCGGAGGGCGGAGGCTCCTGACTCTGTTCTTGAACCCTTCAGGCCGGACTGGGACTGTCCCCGCGTGACCAGACCCTTGGCCCCCCATGCCCCGCCGCCCTCAAGATGCCGACCTGTCCGCCCTGGCGGCTGCTTCTGCTGCTCTTGCTGTGGGGGCTGCTGCTCGGGAGGGCGGAGGTGAGGACCCGCGGAGCCACAGGAAGTCAAGGCGAGGTCTGGGGACCGTTTTAAGTCTCCCCCTAAGGCAAAGAGAGTTTTAAGACAGCCCCGCTTGACCAGATTCAAGTTTTGAGGGTTGTTTCCCGACCCTCCTCTTTCTCCCGCAAATCCTCCTGATGCTTCCCAGCCACTCACTCCCTCCTCTCATTTTCCTGAAGGTTTTCAGTCCCCCACAGCAGCTCCCCTGGTGGTTTCTAGGCACCCCTCAAGACTTAGAAGAGGTTTCTAAGCCACTCAGGACTCCTGGGCAAAACAGACAGCCCCTCCAAGTCCCTCTAGGGTGTTTGTGGCCACACGAACCATCCTGCCTGGGAGCGGGGGTCGCTGGGGTGGGGGTGGTCCTCCCTTCTGTCTCTCCGTAGACGGGCCCTGAGGGGCAGACGGCGGGGGAGCTGTACCGGCGCTGGGAACGGTACCGCAGGGAATGCCAGGAGACACTGGAGGCCGCGGAGCCCCCAGCAGGTGTGACTGGGAAGGGGGTGGGCTGCGGCTGGGAGGGGTGGGCTTGGGGCGGGCCTAGGACTGACGAGCGGGGCTTGAAGTCTACGGTGGACGTGGGCCGGATCGGGGAGGCCTGTGCGGGGAGGACTTGGCCTGGATGGGAAGACCTACACTCAGTGCGGGACAGGGGCGCAACTCGGGTTAGCTGGAAAAGCCCGAGAGGTGGCTTGAAATGGGCGGAGTCTTGGGTGGGGCTGCGCCAGGTGGGTGGGGCTGCGCCAGGTGGGTGGGGCCTGGAGTGGATGCGAAGGGGCGGGGTTATGGGCGGAGCCTAGGAAGGGGCTCGCCGCGTGGGAAGCATCTGCCATGGGAATTTGCTTGGTGGGAGGAGCCCAGATTCGGGCTCGGAGAGTGGGCGGGGCCCTGGGTCTGGTGGGAGGAACTGTGGCGGAGCAGGGACCGGCCCGCCCCGGGTGGGCGGGGCCAGGGCGGGGCTTGGGCCTAGAAGGCGGAGCCCCCTGGGGCGCGCGGTGCAGGAGATCCACTCCACGTCTGGCTCTCACGCCCACCCCCCAGGCCTCGCCTGCAACCGGTCCTTCGACATGTATGTCTGCTGGGACTACGCTGCACCCAACGCCACTGCCCGTGCATCCTGCCCCTGGTACCTGCCCTGGCACCGCCATGGTGAGGTGCCCCCTGGATCCCAGGCCCTCGAGACGCAAACAGTTCCTAACCCTTGTCCCAGACGCCACTGCCCCGCAGCTCACCTACACGCCGTCTCCAGCTCCTCCCTGTCCGGCTGCGTGTCTCCTCCCGCCTGCCCAACCCTGGCTGGGTCCTGCCTCTGTCACGTAAAGCCCCTTCTCTGTCTGTATACCTCTCTGAGGACCACCCGGTTCTTATTTTCTCTCCTTTTCACGGGGCTGTCTATCTCTAGGCGTCTTGATCTTCCCTGCCTACCGAGCTATGTGGCCTGGGGTAGCTTATTTAATTTCTTTATGCCTCGATTTCCTCATCTGTAAAATGGGGTTTATGATAGTGCCAATTTCATAGTCTTGTTATGAATATTAAATTAAGAAGTGTAAAATGCTGTGTAAGGGTTTATCATCATCATCATTGTCATCATCACTTTGGCTCTCTCTCTCTCTCTGCCCTTGTCTCATATTTTGCCTTTCTGTCTCCATCTCTCTGTTTCTCTCTGCCTCTCATCCCCTCCCTGGTTTCCGCACAGTGGCCACAGGTTTTGTCCTCCGCCAATGTGGCAGTGATGGCCAATGGGAACCTTGGAGAGACCATTCTCAGTGTGAGAACCCAGAGAAGAACGGAGCCTTTCAGGTAAGAAGAGGTGAGGAATTCCAGTTAGGATGTCCAGGGAGAGGTGAAAAGGCAGCAGCCTCTGGCTGATTCTGAAGCCTCTTGTATAGTTCAGGACTACTGTTCAGGTTCCAAGTGATGGAAACTCAATTCAGACTTGCCTGATGGAAAAAGAAAGAGAAATGTATCAGCTTCTGTGATTGAAAAGTATAAGACTACAGCTTCAGGCACAGTTGGATATAGGTGCTCAAATGATATGGTTGGGTATCTCTTTGTCTCTCACCCTATTGTGCTCTGGTTTTCTCTGTGCTGGTCTCACCTTTTCCATGGGGTGGAAAAGATAGCCCCATTAGCACCAGGCTCATATCCCACCAACCAAAACTGCGAGGAGACTGAGTTTTGTTCTCAATAGCTCCCACCTAATGCCCCAGGACTGACTCTCATTGGTCTGGTTTGGGTCATATGCCCATCTTGAACTGTGCATGTGTGTGAGATAGAATGCTCTGATTGGCTGGTCACATACCCAGCACTCGAGCTGCGGGATGGAGTCAGCCCCATTCCAACAAGGGTAGGTGGATCCCCAAGAGAAAATTGGGGTACTGGGCACGAACAAAGAGCAGATGCCCTTCCAGCCCCTCTCTGGCCCTGGGGGCAAGAGCTGAGCCCTGTTCCCGTGTCCTCCTCTCCCAGGAGCAAAGGCTGACCTTGGAGCGGCTGCAGGTCGTGTACACCGTCGGTTACTCCGTGTCCCTTGCCACACTGCTGCTCGCCCTGCTCATCTTGAGTTTTTTCAGGTGGGCCCCCCAGCCCTGAGCGGTGGCAGCAGACACTGGGCCTCATTTTGCCCAGGCACCACCAGCAACAGGCATCCAATGGTGGTTCCGTGGGAAGGACTGGAGGGGGGGGGCGGCATGGTTAAGGGGCTTTGTGTGGCTGAGGCCAGGTCTCCAGGGGTCCCCAGACTGCCCCCCAACCCCCCAGGCGTCTGCACTGCACACGGAACCACATCCACATCAACCTGTTCACATCGTTCATGCTGCGGGCAGCGGCGATCCTTACGCGAGACCGCCTGCTACCTCCTCCCGGCCCTTACCCCGGGGACCAGCCCCCTGCCCTGTGGAACCAGGTGAGCAGCACCTCTCTCTTCCTCAAACTGGGACTCTGCCTCCCCTGCTGGGGCCACGATGTCCCCAGTCCCTTTCCCGCTTCTTACGCTATCAACAGTTTCTCTCTCTTGACCCCTCCAGACACATAGGGAGAGGGACCTTCCCAGCGCAGCCTTCCCCGTCCTTGAACTCTCCGGCCCCATCACCTCCTTTACTGGAATTTTCCATCCCCTTTCTCTTTATCTCACCCATTCCCTGGACTTTCTCTCCAGTGAGAGAAGCCCCCTGCTGGAGGCGAGGCAGTGACAGGAGGCAGAAGCTAACTGGTGGGGGAACTTAGTAGAAACCACTTGGTTACTGGGAGACAAGGTGGGAGAGACTAGAGGCTGGGGGCAGAATCAGAAAAACTATCTGGTAGCAAATTGGCCCACAGCAACAATTAGGAAGCCACGAGGTGGGAGAGGCCACCGGCTGGCGGGAGAGTGGGGGATGAGAAGGGAGAAAGAAACCTTTTGATAGGTGGAGTAATTTTCAATTCTTAGGAGATGAGGTGGGAGAGGCCATATTGGGGGGGGGGGGCTAAGCGGGAACTCTGATAGCAAGATGGGAGTTAATTGTTAAAGAGGATAGAGTGGGAGGGTTCATATAGCGGAAGGTAACAGGGAGAGAGAAACCAACCGGGGTGAGAGGACAACCAGGTGGAGGAAGGCTCGAGGACACCCGGGGAGGCCCTGACTGCCCCCTCCCTCTGCCTGGCGACCCTCTAGGCGCTAGCTGCCTGCCGCACCGCCCAGATCGTGACCCAGTACTGCGTGGGTGCCAACTACACGTGGCTGCTGGTGGAGGGCATCTACCTGCACAGCCTCCTGGTGCTTGTGGGACGCTCCGAGGAGGGCCACTTCCACTGTTACCTGCTCCTCGGCTGGGGTGAGCCCCGACCCTGTCCCCTGCCCGGCGCGTGCGCCTCCGATGCCCCCACTACCCTGCTGGTCTACCTCAGGGGGTCTCCTCCCCTCTCTAGGCTTCTGCTTCCCCACCCTGGCGGGGCAGTTCCGCGGGTCTTGGGCCTGGCGGGGCCCGTGCGCGCGCTGACGGCTGCGGCGGGGTTGGGGGGCGGGGGTCGGGGTCTGCGCAGGGGCCCCCGCGCTTTTCGTCATTCCCTGGGTGATCGTCAGGTACCTGTACGAGAACACGCAGTGAGTCGCCGGGGTCGGGGCGGGGCCTGGGAGGTGGGGGGAGCTCCGAGGGACGTGGGCGGGGTTTGCTGGCCACGTGGGGCGGTGCTGCTGGCGCCCAGGGGCTGGGAGGGGACGTGGTGGGGGTCTGAAGGACTGGGGAGCTTGGAAAGATTGTGTTCGCGGACTCCTGGAAGGGGCGGGATGAGGGCGGGGCCTGGATGGTAACAGGCGGGGTTAAAGGGATGTGGGTGTGGCGCTAAGGGCGGGGGCGGGGCCTGGGGAGGGAATGCGCGCGTTCCGGTGAGTCCGGGGGATTTTTCTCTCTTAGCTCTACTCCCCCTCCCCTAGGTGCTGGGAACGGAACGACGTCAAGGCCATTTGGTGGATCATACGCACCCCTATCCTCATGACCATCTTGGTACGGCCAGCCCCGCCTCCTCCAGGTCTTCCTCGGGGATTTCTCATCCTAAGCGGGGCGCCACCCTCTGCTCCCCAGGACGGGATCCGGGCTGCCTCAGCCTCTGTCTCTCCTCGCAGATTAACTTCCTCATCTTCATCCGCATTCTTGGCATCCTGGTGTCCAAGCTGAGGACGCGGCAGATGCGCTGCCCCGACTACCGGCTGAGGTGAGGGAGGGCGGTGGGGGCGGAGGGGAAGGGGGCTGGGTGCGAGATGGGGGACCCGGGTCCGCGGGAGCACTGCCACCCTCTCCCCGCAGGCTGGCTCGCTCCACGCTGACGCTCGTGCCCTTGCTGGGCGTGCACGAGGTGGTGTTTGCTCCCCTGACGGAGGAACAGGCCCGTGGCGCCCTGCGCTTCGCCAAGCTCGGCTTTGAGATCTTCCTCAGCTCCTTCCAGGTGCTCAGGCGGGGGCAGGGGCTCCACCCCTCGACCTTGGCCTCCTCCCCAGAGGGACACGTGGCCGCAGTCATCCTCTGGCGCAGCCACTGAATGGGGTGTGAGGATGGGATTGTGTGCGTTCATCCTACACAAAATCCTGAGCTAGCGCTGTCCAGGGCGGGGCGAGCAGCGGGAAGAAGGACAGGAGATGGGGCAGCATCCCCATCACTGCCTCCTGGTGAAGATCGGGGGCTTCGAGGCCAGGAGGGGCTGGGGCCAAATTCGCGCCTGTCACTTCCTGTCTCTGTGGCCTTCGCCTCAGGCTTGGAGCTATGAGAGGTGCCTAAGGTGCAAAATGTAAAAAGGTGCTCGCTCCAAAGTTCCAGGCCAACCCTGCCCTTCCTTGCCCTGCCCTAGTCCCCAAGCTGCTTTACCTTGTTGGGCCTCAGTTTGCTCATCTCTAAAGTGAGGGCAATACCAGTCTCACCTCACAAGGCTGTTCATTCATGAAATTCAGCAAACATCCATCGGACACTTAACTATGTGCCAAGAACTCTTCTAGGCATACTGTGGGGATAGAGCCGAGAACCAAATGGTCCCTGCCCTCAGGTGGGAGACAGACACTAAACACGCTACATAAGTAAAATATACGCAATGCCAGATGTGCCTAGAGGGGGGAAAAAGGAAGAAAATAGAGGTGAGGAGCAGATAAAGGGTGGGCTTCTAGACGCAGGGTCAGGGAAGGCCTGGCTGAGAAGACATAGGAGCAGAGACCCCACAAAGGACAGGGAACAAGCCAGGCAGATCCCTGGGGAAAATGTTCCAGGAAGAGAAACACCATGTGCGAGGTCCCTGAGGCAGGAGAGGGTACTGTCATGATGGGGGAAGGCCAGCATGCCTGAAGCAGGGGGAGCCAGCGGGAGCAAGGGGGACAGAGGACAGAGGTACCACGGCCGCCCTTTGGGCCAAGTGAGGACTGTGGCTCTTTCTCCGAGGAAAGCAGGAGCCCCCGGAGGACGCTGAGCAGAGGGACACGATCTGAGTTAGATTTTCATAGGATCATGAAAAGTAATAATAAGATATTATCTTAATAATACTGCATAGGGTCCGGCCCGGTGGCGCAGCGGTTAAGTTTGCAGGTTCCGCTTTGGAGGCCCGGGGTTCACCGGTTCAGATCCCGAGTGCGGACCTGGCACCGCTTGGCAAGCCGTGCTGTGGCAGGCATCCCACATATAAAGTAGAGGAAGATGGGCACGATATTAGCTCAGGGCCAGTCTTCCTCAGCAAAAAGAGGAGGATTGGCAGCGGATGTTAGCTCAGGGCTAATCTTCCTCAAAATAATAATAATAAAAACCCATATAAATAATTGATTTGTATGAATTTATCAAGTAATGTATTAATTATACATATTTTATATTCATTTAAATTATATGTAAAACGTATAAATTTATACAAATGTAAAACTAATTATTGATTAAAATTAATTTATTAACATATTAAATAATGTTATAATACGACTAAGAAAAAGATTTAACGCTATTTGCCAGGCTTTGTAGCTTCTTGCATACTATTCATGCTTCTGTTCTCACAACCACCCACTGTATTACCCATTTTCCAGATGAAGAAACTGAGGCACAGAGGGGCTAAGCAGCTTGCCCCGGTTGGGAAGAAAGTGGGGAGTGGTTATCACACGCAGGCAGCCCACCTCCAGGGTGCCCGGTTCTTAAACTCCAGCCCTGATTACGCAGCAAATCGGCCAGAGCGAGGGGGGAGCCAGGAGCCAGGGAGAAGGTGACTGTTCGAGTCTAGGCCCCGGGTGGCGGCAGCCAAGGTGGTTTGGGGCCTGCCCGGGGTCCCGGATCACTGGGTGCGTGTTTCCAATCCTGGCCCCGCCCCCGATTTACCTTGTGCCCGGTCTGGCAGGGCTTCCTGGTCAGCATCCTCTACTGCTTCATCAACAAGGAGGTAGGGAGCCCTCCCTCTGGCGGCCGCGCAGGGAACCGAGCGCCCGGCGCCGCCTCTGAGCGCCGGCCCGTTGCAGGTGCAGTCGGAGATCCGCCGTGGCTGGCACCGCTGCCGCCTGCGCCGCAGCCTGGACGAGGAGCCGCGCCAGCCCCCGGAGCGCGCCTTCCGGACCCTGCCCGAGGGCCCCGGCCCCGGCCGGGTCGCCAGCGGCCGCGCTCTGTCCTCGGGGACCCTCCCGGGGCCTGGGGATGAGGCCAGCCCGGTCTTGGAAAGTTACTGCTAGGGAGCAGTGTTCAGTTAGCACATATTCATTGAGCGCCTACTGTGTACCGGGCCTGGTGTGGAGGGCGCTGGGGAAATGGGGTGGGGGGAGGAAACAAAAGACAAGGTTCCTGTTCTCCTAGAGATCATAGCTGAGTAAAGGAATCAGACCGTGAAAACAAAACGTTAAGTTATGTATACATGCTGTGGAATGGCTTAGGAAGAAAAATTACAAGCAGGCCTAGGGCGGTCCGGGAGGGCATCTCCGAGGAGGTGTCATTTAAGCCATGCCTGGAAGAGGTGAAGGAGACAGCTTTGGGAAGAATCAGTGGACAAGATTCTAGGCAGAAGGACCTAGCATCTGCAAAGGCCCTGGGGCAGCTTGGCCATGTCTGAGGAACAGAGAGGTGGTCTGCGTGGCTGGAGTGGGATAAGTCAGAGCCAACAGATGGAGAGGGAGAAGTGGGCAGGGGCACAAGAGTTGGGATTTTATTCCAGGTGTGTTGTAGATTCTTAGCGGGAGCATCTTCTGGGCTAATTTTTTTTTTTTTAAAGATTGGCACCTGAGCTAACAACTGTTGCCAATCTTCTTTTTTTTTTTTTTCCTGCTTTTTCTCCCCCAAATCCCCCCAGTATATAGTTGTATATTTTTTAGTTGTGGGTCCTTCTAGTTGTGGCATGTGGGACGCCGCCTCACCATGGTCTGATGAGCGGTGCCATGTCCGCGCCCAGGGTCCGAACCAGTGAAACCCTGGGCCGCCGAAGCAGAGCGAGCGAACTTAACCACTCGGCCACGGGGCCAGCCCCTGGGCTAATGTTTTCAACAGATCCCTCTGTCTACCCTCGAGGGGCAGAGATTATTAGGGGCAGGGGTGGAAGCTGGGGCCCAGTGAGGATACTGCGCAGAGGAGGTGAAGGTGGCCGGACCAGGGTTGCGGCCACGTGGGGCGTGAATCTGTTGGATCCTGGGGCTATTGGAAAGGTCAAACTCAGGATTTGCTGATGGATCGTATGAACCAAGCGTAGCAAGAAGTCAAGGAAGATTTCTGGGTTTGGGATGGAGAGAGAAAAGACAGGGAGCTCGGCTTCAGGGTGGGCAGAACCGTGTGCCCTGTGGACATGTTCAGCTGGGAGGAAGGGTCTGGAGCCCACGGGAGAGGGAGAGTTGGAGACAGAGATGGGACAGCACTGGGGTCCAGAGAGCATTCCGTGTGTAGACATAAACACGGGCCGTTCCTGGCAGGCCTCGGAGCTGAAACCTACACCCAGAGAGGCCAGGGCCATGGCTAGCTGGGGGTGTGAACACACAGCCCCGCCTCTGGGGGGGTCCCTGGGAACTGGGAGAATTAGGGGGGAACGCCGACAGCCTCATGGTGGCTGGACCACCTGTACACACCCAAGACCCTCCCTCCAAAAACCTCCCCCACTCAGATACACTTAGACTCAGTTAGCCCTGGGTATCGTCTTATTTCCCTCGGCGTCCCCAGCTCTCTGGATACGGCCCGGAGCAGCTGAACTCAGAGTCCTTTCCAGGCTGTGGCCCCTGGGTGGGTGGGGAGCCCAAGGCAGGGCCCTTGTAAATAAAGCAGGAGAAACAGTTGTGTTTTTGGTTGTGTTTTTGCGTATGGGGTGGGAGAATCTTCTTGGCCAGGCCATAAGGGAAATGACTGCGTGGCTGGGTGTCTGTGGGGGCCTTGCACCCTCTGGAGGGTAGCGCTGCTCATCTTCAGCCCCGTGTCGCCACAACACTGATGTCACACTGCCGCTGTCCCCCCGCCCAAGAGAAGCCCCAATTGGGAATGTTCCCGGGATCTCCTGACACTTAACTATTTGCAGTGTGTACAATTAAAATCATGTGTGTGTGCGCCAGACATTTGCTGAGGGCTGCTTCTCTCAAACGGTGGTGTGGGAATAGCAGAGCTGCAGGAAGCAACCTGCTTCAGATCTTAGCTGTGTGACCTGGGGACAACTTCCAACCTTTCTGTGCCCCAGTTTCCACTTCTGGAAAATGGCTGTAACGATGGTACCTACATCCTCGGGCTGCCTGATTCCAAGGGGCTCCTCTTAGGACGCTCTGGAAAGCACTTGGGCAGTGGGGTGGGGGGAGAGGGGAGGAAGGAAGTCCGACTGATGCCAAACAGGGTGCAGGGCTGGCATCTGCCGCCAGCCTGCCAGGGAGGGAAAGCAATTCCCATTTCCCGGGGAGGAAGAGTCAACAATGGAGGCGGAGGGAGACATCAGGGCCGCGACTCCAGGGCTTGTGCTGTCCTTACTCCTGCACAAGAGCCAATCCCCAGGGCAGTTTCCACAACAGCACCATCGCCCCGCTTAACAGATTAGGATCCTGTGGCCCCATCCTGCTCCCTGACGGTCAAGACTGCTCACGAGGCCCTGGCTCCCTACGTTTGAAAGCGGCTCCATTGTTTCCTGAGTGACCCTGGGAAAGTCACTTACCCTCTCTGGGCCTGAGCTGTCTCATCTGTAAAATGGGATGGTTCTAGCATCGCCCCCTCAGATGGTGGTTCCAGTTAGATGCGGACCACTCAGTGAACGTGTGCCTTTAAAACCTCACAGCGTGGGCCTGTGTCAGGCCTTCCCTGCTGCAGGGGCCCCAAGCTGTCGCTAATGGGCTCATGGGGTAACTCAGGCTGTGCCTTCCACAGCTCAGTGTGTCGGACATCTCATTTGATCCTGACCTCAGGCCCGCGAACTCCGGCACCTGCCTGGCATTTGGCCCTGTCTGAGAACAGAGACAGAACAGAAGAGAGAGACGCAGGGGGCGGGAGGGAGGGTGACGTGGGCACATAGAGCAAGACGGATCTTCCCTAAGCGCCCCCAATAAGTAAGCCCCCCTTCCGCACCTCCATCTCCCCATGTTCGTCAGAGAATTTCTCCCAAGGGTAATTAAGTTGTGACTTGAGGGCGGCCGAGCTCAGGGGATAAGCCCCAGGCTCAGGAACAGGGTGGGTATGAATGACAGCATCACCATGCTGGCTGGGTACCGCTGGGGGCGTGCCACCACCGCCGGGCCTCAGTTCCCTCCTCTGGACAGGGAGGTAATAAAGAACAGCGCCTGCTCAGAGCTGTTGGGAGGAAGTTCGAACAGCACGGAGCCCAGGGCCTGGCACCCTGTCAGCTCCCCGGGGCTCAGCCACAGTCACCGTCGGTTCTGGGCACCGACCGCTCTACCCGGGCATCTCCTGTCCATGAGGGCCGTCAGGAGCCGTCCCGGGCACGGCTGTGTCCCCAGCATTGCAGCACAGGGCTGGGCCTGGAGGAGGCGCCTGGTGGACTGTTTGCTGATTGCACAAATGGAAAAGAAGACTGAAAGAAAAGACTGAGACTGACTGATGGAGAGAGAGGCAGGAAGAAGGAAGAGAGAGTGACGCCAAGAAGCTAGAAAAGATTAAAACAGGAGAGAGAGCAGAAGCTCTCTCCATCCAACCCATTCGCTTCACAGACGGGGAAAGCGAGGCCTGGAGGGGCAGACGGGGCCTCGTCACCTGCTCAGAGAGGTCCTGACCCAGCGTGTGCTGGGCCCCACGCCCAGCTGCCTTCCTCCCGCGAGTCAGCCCCCCTCACCAGGCCCTGGGAAGAGACAGGTACCACTAAAAAAAAACACAGGACTTTATTATTCCCATCACAAAGGGCACGGCTTCGCAGGATAGGGAGCGAGTTCCGACGGCGGGGAGGGGCCCTACTTGCCCGCGATGAGCGGGTTCCGCAGGACCACGATGACCGAGTCCCCGCGCAGGAACATCTTGGAGATGTAGCGGTCCTTGTTGACCGGCTTGGACTTCTTCTTGCCCTTGCCGCTCTTGGGAACCTCAGTCCACATCTCCTTCACGTTCTCCAGCACCATGTTGCAGTGCCTGGGGGGAGGCAGCGGGAGTGAGGCGGGCGCCTTCTGACAGCCCTCATCTGACACCCCACTCCAGCAGCGCGGCCTGGGCAAGGGACCTCACCCCCGTGCCTCAGTTTCTTCCTGTCTAAAATGGGGACAATCCTGGTACCTGCCTCCTAGTTGGTGTGAAGATTCAATGAACTGATACAGCATTTTCGTAAAGGACTTAGAACAGGGCCTGGCACAGGGTAAAGGGGAATGAAATGGTTCTGCTTGGGCCTTTTCTAAAACTCCGAGTACTTCTGGAGACATCAGCAAAGGGGCGGGTCTCTCCAGAGACCCAGAGGCCCCTGGCGCCTGAGGCGGTCTCCACTGCCATGCTTGGTCCCTGTCTTCAGGGTGCCAGGTGGGAAAGGATGACAGCCTGCATTAGCTCGCGCAACAGACGCTTGCAATGACCTCGAGATGCTGTCCCTGCCCTCGGGGGGTCTGCACCCATGCCAGTGAGGGGAGAATGCGAAGGGTTAGCAGGGAGACCTGTAAGATCCTGTCAGGTGGTGGTAACCGCGACGAAGACAAATGAAAGGTAAAGGGATAAAAGGATATAGGGAAACTTTACCCAGTGGTGAGAAAAAAAGAAAAATGTCAAGAAGAACAAGGAAGCTCTGTGCCTCGCTACGGAGTGACCTCCAGGAGGTCCTGTTGAGTGAAAAAGGCAAGGTGGGGAACGGTGGGCCTGGAAAGTCATCTTTGCCTGTGTGAGGAAGACTGTCGCTGAGCCAACATCCATGCCCATCTTCCCCTATTCCATGTGGGACGCCGCCACAGCGTGGCTTGATGAGCGGTGCTAGGTCCACGCCCGGGATCTAGGCCTGCGAACCCCAGGCCACCCAAGTGGAGTGCCATGAACTTAACCACTCACCCACGGGGCTGGCCCCAAAAGTTATCTTTTAGGGGAAAAAAAGAGGTTGTAGAAGTGTACATTCTGCTCAATACAGAATCCTGAGAAGATGCCTAGAGATCGGGGGGCAGTGGGCCGGCCTAGGCAGACTGGGGATGAGCCGGATGGAAACTTCTCCCTGGTCTGTTATTACTGTCTTTGGAATCATTAGAATCTATTACCAATGCAGAGAAAATAAATTAAAGAAAACAAAAACGGTGTACGAATACGGAAAACAATTCTGCGGTATATGAAGTGAAAAGGCCAGTGTAAAACTGTGTGGTATGCCATTAGCGGTGATTTTAAAATAAACAAACAAGAAGCACCCTCCCTATCTGTAGGGATGCTGTCCTGCTCACGTACTCCTTCTGGGAGGAGACTCCCGCTGTGAGCCATGCGGGGTCCCTGGGGAGGGCCACCGGGGGCCGGAGAGGAAAGACTTGCTCTTCAACCGGGGCCTTTTGTATCTTTCCGATTTTGCCTCAATGGCCTGCACTGCGCACTCAGGAAAGTGACATAAGTAATTAAGTAACTAAATAAGGGGAGGCAGGTTAGGGACGCCTTGGCGGACTTGCACACCTGAGAAGCACTTACCGTGTTCCCAGGCCTCAGCTAAGCGCTTTCCAAGCCTCAACCTGTCAACCTGCACTGCATCCCGCCCCCAGGAGGGAAACACCTGTGTCACCTCCAGAGCTGGAAAAGGAACCCAGCGGGACGAAGGGGCTCAGCCAAGGTCACACATTTTGGAAACGCCAGGGCCCGTGTCTGGATCCAGGTCCGTCTGGCGGCTCGTGCCCGCCCTTCCTGTGGCTCTTGCTCTTGTTTTACTCAAGAGGACACTGGGGCGCAGGGGGCAAGGCTCGTTCACGGTCACATAACAGCTAGTGGCAGAAACGTTCTAGAATTAGGCCTCACCACACGACCGTGGGGAAGTCAGCACTAACCAGATGCTAACGAAAGGCTGCACGTTTTATGTTTGCCGAGCATTTATCGCGTGTTTGGTACTGACCTAAGCATTCTTCATACATAATACCATTTAATCCCCACCACTGTTCTGTAAGCGGTATTACTGTGATGCACATTTCGCAGAGAGGGAAACTGAGGCCCAGAGAGGAAAAATCCCTTGCTGTGCCCTCTGGCTGAAACACTCAGATGCTAGCTTGCTCCTTCATTTTATTCGATTTGTCCGCTGTTGCCTCTTCTGAGGGGGCCTCTCTGATTACCCCCACCCTATTACCTTCACTCTTTATAGAGCTGATCATCGTGTCTTTACGACACATTATTTATGTGCTTGCTACTGGCTTCCCTGCCTACAGCATAAGCTCCCTGAGTCTAGGACCCATGTTTGTTTTAGTCATTGCTGTATTTCCAGAGCCGAAAACAGTACCTGGCTTGGGTGGACGCTCTGATTATGTCATAACTGTGAAAAAGGATTAAAAGCACCCTGTGTGCCAGAGGCTGGACTTCTAATGACTACTACACTTCACCTACATCAAGTCATTGAATCTCTGCCACCACGTTTACTGCCACTGTATGGATGAGATAAAGTCACTTGTGGAAGGACACATGGCTGCTAAGAGGCAGAGTTGGGACGGGGGGAATCAAGGAGGACTGGCTCCCAAGTGCCTGGCCATAACCACTGTGCTTCACTGCCGGGGGGGGGCAACAAGAGACAGTCACACCTCGGGGCTTGAAGATGCTATGCCCCGGTCTTCTGAGAAGCCTTTGGTTCAGGCTCCTCCTCACCGTGCAGCTGGGAGTGCTTCTCCAGGCCCGGACACCCCCCAGACCCAGGCGCTCACCTGTCAAAGGCCTTCACACGGCCCAGGAGCTTCTTGTTGTTGCGGCAGTTAATGAGCACTTGCGTGTTGTTCTTGACCGACTGCGTGAGCACGGACAGCGGGCCCGTGTTAAACTCCTCTTCCTCCCGCTTCTGCAGCTCCTCCGGGGTCATCTCACTCTTGGGCTTGTTGAGGAGGCTCCTGAGTGGGCAATTATGGAACCCATAAGTGACAGGGCCTGGGGCTGGAGCATGGGTGGTCACGCCTTGTGCTCAGGTGTCCCGAACCTTGCCAACAGACCCACCCTCCCCCTCAGTCTCCTGCTTGACATCACTATCAGGCTGCCTAATCGACATTTCCAACCTTGCACGTCTTAGGCTGGGCTCCAGATCTCCCAACCACCCCAATCTACTCTATCCACAGCCTTCCTCATCTGTTGATGGCAGCTCCATCCTTCTAGCTCTTTAAGCAAAAACTCTGAGGTCATGGAGGCCGGCTCCGTGGCCGACTGGATAAGTTCGCGCACTCTGCTTCAGTGGCCCAGGGTTTCACCATTCAGATCCTGGGCGCGGACCTAGCACCGGTCATCAGGCCATGCCGAGGCGGCGTCCCACATAGCAGAGCCAGAAGGACCTACAACTAGAATATACAACTACGTACTGGGGGGCTTTGGGGAGAAGAAGAAAAAGAAGGAAAAAAAAAAAAGTTGGCAACAGATGTTAGCTCAGGTGCCAATCTTTAAAAAAATAAAGACAACACTCTGAGGTCATCTTTCTCTCACATCCCACATTCAATCTGTCGGCAAATCCCGTCATCGGCCTTTAAAATCTATCCGAAATCGGACCATTTCTCACCACAGCCTAAACCTCCATCATCTCCCTTCGAGTCTTCCTGGTCCCCTTGCCTCCACCCATGCTCCCCAACAGTCTGATGTCCAGAGACTCAAGTCATATCATCTCACTCTTCAAAACCCTCCGACGGCTCCCATCTCAGTGGAAAAAGTAAAATCCAAAGTTTTTACAGTGCCCTACATCTGCCCCCTTCTTTCAGCCTGTTCCAGCCACAGTGGCCTCGTGGATGGTTCCTGAAAATATGAGGCCAACGTTCATCCTGGCCCTCTGCCTGGACACCTCCCCAGGCATCTCTGTGGTTCACTCTCTCACTTTCTTCAGGTCTTTGTCCAAGTGTTGCCTCCTCCATGTATCCTTCGGTGCCAGCTAAGTTACCATCTCTCAAAATTGGCATTCCCCATTGTTTTCCCCTTGCCCCATTGTTTCATTATGCACAGCCCTGGTCATCTAACGCACCATATACGTTACCTGCTTATTATCATTACATTTATTGCCTGCTTCGTCCCACCCCATAAGCTGCAGCAGGGGATTTTTTCCTGGGGAGGCGGGTAATTCACGGATGTGTCGAGAGCCCTGCCTGACACATGAGCACTCAATAAATAATTGCTAAGTGAATAAGTAAGTAAATCATTCCGGGGACTCGTCATCTGTAAAAGCCGCGAATTAGATTGCAAAGCCAACCGTCTGCAGCTCACATGATCCGGGTGAAGTCCCCTACTTCAAACCGTTATTCCTACGAGCCCACACTTCCTTCTCCCGGGTTCTTTATTCGTAAAATCGCTGCCCCTTAACACGCATCTCAACAAGACTAAGTCTTTGGGAACCCACAGCCCGTTATGTGATACACCTGTCCCCTCTCCCCGACTCAGGAGCCGTCAAAGGCCCCGCGCCCGTTCGCAAACTCATCAGGAGAGAAGGACGCCGCTTCACCGGTAAAATCTCAGGCCCCGTCCTCCGCTCTGCCCATCCCCTTCCACCTGTAAGTGCTCAAATTTACACCCTCAGCCCCACTCCCGCCGCCTAAGCCTGGCCCGGGCTCACATGGTGGCGGTGGCTGCGCTCTCAAGTCACTCGCGTTTCCTCCGCGTTGCTTCTGCCTCTGAAGACAGAGCGGGAGGCGGGACTTCCGCTTCCGGCGGCCCACTTCCGTAGGCGCCTGCGCAAACCCAACCAGCGGGTGGGGGCGTGGCCTGTTGCCATAGCGACCCGCGCCAGCCCTGCGCCGCGGTCGGGGAAGAGCCTCGTGTCGGGGTTCCAGCCCATTCGGGACCGTAACGAGCAGATGTTCACGACCGTGGAGAGGAAAACAGAGCGGGTTCGACCCATACCATTTTGTCGTAGGACGGCACAGGTTGAAGAAGGGAAAGGACACGCCATTTCCAAATGCCCGCCCGCCCTGCCTTCAGGGGCGTGGCCTCCGCTAAGCCAATCCGCTCCTCGCTTCGGGGATGGACTCCGCCCCTTTTCCTTCGGGGGCGGGTCATTTACGCGTCTATTGATCTTTCCGACTCCGCGTAACCAATCCGTTGCCTCCATCGGGAGGGGGCGTGGACCTGCGCCCGGGAGGTCGAATATTTTCCGTGATCAAACGCTTCTCATTGGCTTCCCCTCCTCCGCTGAGGCGGAGTCTTCCCCGTTTCGCGCTCCCTTTTGGGTTGTGCCACCCTGCGGGGAACCAACCCCAAAGCCCCAGGGACACAGGGAGGCGTGTCCTCAGGACGAGAATCCCCATTGGCTTCGCGGCTCGCGGGAGGGTGGGATGGGGCAGCCGCTCTTGGGGTTCATTGGTCCGCCGATTTCACGGGGTGGGACTTGGCTGGGCCTAAATTCTATCCGCGGTCCCGGACCGGTTTTAGGGCGAAGCTGCCATGCGTTCCGGGGGCCGCGGGCGGACCCGGCTACGGCTCGGAGACCGCGGCCTCTTGGAGCCCCCCTCACCGCCCAAGCGCCGCCTGCTGCCGCGGGCGCAGCTGTTGCCCCTGCTGCTGCTGCTGCTGGCCGTGGCCTGGGCGCTCTACACCATCTGGGGCGGCTGGCACCGCCGGACCGAGGAGCCGCTGCAGGGCCGGGAGCTGCGGGTGAGGCCGGGCGGGGGCGCAGGCAGCGCGGGGGCCCGCATTCCCCGCCTCCCCTTCCCTAAGGTCTCAGGTTCACGTGGCTTTTTCATATGGCCCTAGCCGCAGGTGCCAGGGTCTCTGTCCTTAGATCGCATGCCCCTTGCCAATGGAATGAAGCTTCGGGCTTGTTCTGTAATAGTGGCTCCCCTTTAAGAGGAAGAGTCTGGGGTAATAAGACTGAGAGTTCTGGGTTCTAATCCTAAAGTCAGCTCTTTGGAAGAGTCCCTTCTCGCTGGGCCTCGATTTCCCAATCAGGATTAGGGTGGGCTAGACCGGATGGGCTTGGAGGGACTTTTCCCAAGTCTAGAATTTGTCCTAGGAAAACCTCCGATGCTGGAGGCAGCGATTTGGGAGAGGACCCGGGGCTTCTTAGGGGCGACGGCGCCCGGGGTAGGGTCGGAACGGGGGTTGCTCTCATGCTCTGCTCTTTTCTGCCCCATCCCACCCCTCTCCCAAGGGCACGTTGGTTGGAAACCTGCCCGAAGCCCGGCTGCGGAGGGTGGTGGGGCAACTGGACCCAGAGCGCCTCTGGAACGCTTACCTGCGCCCCCTGCTGGTTGTACGGACCCCGGGCAGCCCGGGCAATCTCCAAGTCAGAAAGGTAAACGGCTCCACCTCCAACCCGACACGCAGCCTGCCATGGAAAGGGAAATAGGGAAATAGGGAAATTCCGCCTAAGAACCCAAAGCGGCTAAGAGGCTGCTCTCTGTACTGCCCCACCAAAAGCGTACTATGTGCTAGGCACGAGCAACCGCCCTATGAGGTGGGTACCAATGTGATCTTCGTTGTGCAGATGGGGAAACTGAGGTCCAGAGCAGTTCGGCATCTTGCCCAAATCCCACAGCTAATAAATAGTATACTTAGGGTTTCGACCCAAACAGGTTAGATCCAGAGCTGGTGCCTTAACATCACTGTATTGCTTCCCAGAAAGCATCGAGAGACATTTGAATCCTGCCTGAGTTCAAATCCCACCTCAGCCACGTGGAGTGTGACCTTGGACTAGTTTCTTAACCTCTCTGTGCCTGTTTCCTTATCTGCAAAACGGAGCCATTGACAGTCCCTACCCCAGAGGGTTCCTAGTGCTATTGAAGAGTGAGCTGAGATTAGTCTTGTTGGCATCAAGAGGAGGGTCACCCCACCCCTGGCACCCAGTAGGTACTCAGCAGAAGTGTGTTAAGGGGACGATTTAAAGCGAAGTGGGGCTTGCGAGTCAGCCTGACCGCTCTGCTAGGCTCAGGTCACGTGGCCCTTCTCCCCGGTCCCCGCCCACCCTCCTGCCTCTCTCTTGCCACTAGTTCCTGGAGGCCACGCTGCGGGCCCTGACTGCAGGCTGGCATGTGGAGCTGGACCCCTTCACGGCCTCGACGCCCCTGGGGCCCCTGGACTTTGGCAACGTGGTGGCCACACTGGACCCAGGGGCTGCCCGTCACCTAACCCTCGCCTGCCATTATGACTCCAAGCTCTTCCCATCTGGGGCGGCCCCCTTCGTGGGGGCCACAGATTCGGCAGTGCCTTGCGCCCTGCTGCTGGAGCTGGTCCAAGCCCTCGACTTGGAGTTGAGCAGAGCCAAGAATCAGGTGAGGAGTTGGGGGAAGGGTGGGAGTGGGGGGTAGTGGCTGCCTCTGCCTTGGCCCACGCCACCAACCTTCCTCTCCTGGTTTCATCTTCCTGCCTCCAGTCCACACACAAAGCCACAGGCATCTTTCCACCTTCTGAATGTCACATCCTGTCCCTCCTCTTCCTAAAACTCTCCCATGGCTTCTACCTTGTTCCACGCATAAGCCAGAATCCTCATAGTGGCCCACGAGGTGTGCCCTGTTACCTCTAGTCTCATCTCCTCCCTCTCGCCCTTCACTCAATCCACGCTAGCCATTCACCTCCTCTGTGTTCCTCAAACCTGCAAAATTCACTCCTACCACAGGGCATTTGCACTTGCTATTTGCTCTGCCCAGTGTCCCTGTAAGAAAGCCCAAGCTCCCTGGCCCTTGCTGACCCCTCAGGCCTTTGCTCAACCCTGTCTGGCCCCAGCCCTTGTCCATGTTGCCTCCCTGACTGGGAACACTCTTCCCTCTGCTCCACTTTGCGTGGCGACCTCCCACTCCCCCTGCACGCAAACATCCCTTCCAAACAGCCCCGACGTGCTTCCGGAGCCAGGTTCTCTTCCACCCCTTCCTATGCTCTCAGGACCCTGTAGTTCTTGGAAGCGTCGGTCCCAACTGAATTTCACTGGTCACGTGATTATTCATTGGTAGGTCTGTCTCTTTTGCTAAACAAGCTTGGGGAATAACAACGATAATCAGAGCCAACCCCGATTTAGTGACTGTATGCCCGGCACTGTTCGAGGACCTGGATTTGAATCCTGCCCTATGACTAGAACTGTTAGGGACCCCGTTTCTACATAAGGAAACTGACGCTTCCAGGAGTTAGTGACTTACCCACGGCTGCTCGGCTATGCAGTGGCTGAGCCTGGATTTGAACCCCGGCAGTCTGGCTCAGAGCCCATACCTTTGGCCGGTTTGCCCCCTTCGGCTGTGCAGGTGGGCAGGAAATGTGGGTGGGTTGAGGCGAGGGCTGGCCCTGAGCTGGCCCTGACCACCGGCTCCCACAGGCGGCCCCGGTGACCCTGCAGCTGCTCTTCCTGGATGGGGAGGAGGCGCTGAAGGAGTGGGGACCCAAGGACTCCCTCTATGGCTCCCGGCACCTGGCCCAGCTCATGGAGTCTGCGCCCCACAGTCCTGGCCCCACCAGGATCCACGCCATCGTAAGACCAGGGCCCCACTGGGTTCCGGCGAGGTGGGGAGAGGGTGAAGCGAGGTTGGCGGCATCCCGCCTGGCCTCTGCAGTCCTGGCCTCTCTTCCTAGGAGCTCTTTATGCTTCTTGATCTCCTGGGAGCCCCCAACCCCACCTTCTACAGTCACTTCCCACGCACGGCCCGCTGGTTCCATCGGCTGAGGAGCATCGGTAGGTGAAGGTGGAGGCAGGCACCAGCCTGGGGTGCGGGAGGCAGGCCGGGGCGGGGCAGGCACCTGTCCTCTGAGGGGTCCTCCAGCCTTCCTTCTACCTCGCTAGTCTCTAAGGCACTAGGGCAGAAACATAGGATGCCCCACAGCGGTCAAGGGCAGTGATGACCAACGTGGGCTCAGGGGCCAGACAGTCTGGCTTCGAATCCCAGCTCTGCCTCTTCCCAGCTGTGTAAACCTGGGCAAGCGGCTTCCTCTCCCCGAGCCTCCACTTCCTGTCTGTAAAATGGACGTGGTGGGAACGATCATCGGGGACCTCCCTAGACTCAGAGGGATTAATTGAGCTCGGGAACACAGTAGGCCCGCAGTAGGGGTAACTGACACTCATTCTTGTTGGCGTGATCAGCGCTCTACCCCCAGGGCCCCTGCCCTCCTCTGATTGGTGAGCAGGGGGACCTTTGACGCTGAGGGGCTGACCCTTGCCCTGTAATCCCCGCCTCCTCCAGAGAAGCGCCTGCACCGTTTGAACCTGCTACAGTCTCATCCCCACGAAGTGATGTACTTCCAGCCCGGGGAGCCCTTCAGCTCCGTGGAGGACGACCACGTCCCCTTCCTCCGCCGAGGTACTTGCTGGGGGCGTGGGGGGCAGGGGTCCAAGGGAGCCGCGGATGGGACCTGGCCCTGCCCCTTCCCCTGGTGGCGAGTGGCTTAACCCCTTTGTGCCTCGATTTCCTCATCCGTAGAACGTGGGTAATAATAGTCCCCGTCTCCGAGTTGTTGGTAGAGGATTGAGCGTGTTCACACCTGTAAAGAGCTGGGCGCGGTGCCCGGACATAATCGTTTGAGCCTCCATGATCGCGGTTTCTTCCGGCTCTTGCCTTTCAAGGCCCCGGCAGGCCAGCAGAATCGCCCGAGGAGCTTCGGGAAATGTCCCGTCACGTTTCAGCCCTACTGAACTGCAGTCGTGGACCCCTGTGTTATTGTGACAAAACTCCCAGATGATTCTGCTGTACAGCCGGGTTCAGATCACAGGTTTCAGCATCAGACAGGTCTGGGTTCTAGGATCTGCAATTTACCACTGGTCGACCTAAGGCAAATTACTTAGCCTCTCTGAGCCCCCGTTTCTTCTGGAAGAAGAGGTAGAAACATACACACACATATCTAAGTGTATATTCATCATCGCCAAGTGGGTGAGAATTAGATGAGGTATATAAAAGTCCCATCTTCACAGTGCTTGCATATGTTAAGTGCTAAAAACTTTTTAAATTTTTACTCTATAAATTACGCATTCAACAAATATGCATTCCTTACTTCTTATTTATTTATTTGTTTGTTTTTGGTGGGGAAGATTGGCCCTGAGCTAACATCTGTTGCCAATCTTTTTTTTCCTTCTTCTTCTTCTCCCCAAAGCCCCCCAGTGCATAGTTGTATATCCTAGTTGTGGGTCCTTCTGGCTCTGCTGTGTGGGACACCACCTCAGTGTGGCCTGATGAGAGGTGCTAGGTCCATGCTCAGGATCCAAACTGGCGAAACCCTAGGCTGCTGAAGCGGAGCGCGTGAACTCAACCACTCAGTCATGGGGCCAGCCCCCAATCCTCTATTTTGTATATGGGACGCTGCCACAGCATAGCTCAATGAGTGGTGTGTAGGTCCGTGCCCGGGATCTGAACCTGTGAACCCCAGGCCGCTAAAGCAGAGCATGCGAACGTAGTCACTCCGCCACCAGGCTGGCCCCGCGTTCCTTACTTCTTTATTGGTTCACTCGGTGAATACTTCCCAAGGCGGGTACTGAGCTAGGCGGCAGGGATACGGTGATGGCCATAATCCACTTGGCTCCTGTCTGGTGGGGGCAGATATTTAGCAAATCTGGACAAACACAAAGGGAAGTGCTCGGAGGACGGGAAGGCAATGTAGTGCCGGGGCTCAGGGCACAGACTTTGGAGACAGGCGGCCTGGGTTCATATTCTGACCACTGTTTACTGGAGGCGGACTCTTAGGCAAATCACTCTGTCTGCCTCTGTGCCTCGGTATTTACATCTGTAAAATGGGGGTATGTACAGCACCCACCTTAAAGGATTATTATATGGATAAAATGGGGTGTATGTGTGTGTGCGAGTGTGATGTATCGGCCTGGAATAGAACAAGTACTGTCTAAGTGCTAACTGTGAGTAAAGAAGAGAAAAAGAGCTTAATAACGTATACCGGGTGAGAGGGTCAAAGACATCTTTCCCTTCTTCTGGTCTTTCCATAATCCATTGAGGTTTTTTTTTTTAAAGATTGGCACCTGAGCTAACATCTGTTGCCAATCTTTTTTTTTCTTCTTCTCCCCAAAACCCCCAATTACGTAGTTGCATATTCTAGTTCTAGGTCCTTCTGGCTCTGCTGTGTGGGATGCCGCCTCAGCGTGGCCTGACTGCGCCCAGGAGCCAAACTACTGAAACCCTGGGCCGCCGAAGCGGAGCGTGCAAACTTAACCACTCGGCCACAGGGCCGGCCCCCATTAAGTTTTGAGTTTCTCTAATTTGTGTTATGAAAACAGTAGATATACTGGAATATGTATTTTAAGCTAACATGTTGCCCTCACACACTTAAAACCATCAGTCAGAGTTCAAGTGCCAGAACAGAGTATCTTCTTGGGGGAGTGGCGGAGGGATGAGGCAAGGGTCCCGAGGCTCCTGGGTCAGCCGTGGGCCTGACTGAGTCTGCTCTCTCTCCCACAGGGGTCCCGGTGCTCCACCTCATCTCCACGCCCTTCCCCTCCGTCTGGCACACGCCGGACGACTCTGAGGCCAACCTGCACCCACCCACGGTCCACAACCTGAGCCGCATCCTCGCCGTGTTCCTGGCGGAATACCTGGGGCTCTAGCCTGCCTGGCTGACTCTGGAGAAGCGCCCAGCAGGGCACGTGCCAAGGGCACCTGGAGCCAACAGAGCTCAGGCTGGGCCCGCCTGGGGTGTGCTGGCTGGTCCTGCTTAATACCTTCGGCTCTGCTTGGGCTGTGATTGGAAGACCCTCTTTCCTTTGACTATCTCAAGCTGCCACTCTTCAAAGACATGAAAGAGACCAGCGTGGGGTGAGCGCCAAAGGAATCAGAGGTTGGCCCCTGCCCTGAGGGAGATGCTTGGGCGGAAAGTTTGCAGGGGCCAAATGCTGTTCTGTTTTGGTCAGCAAACCAAGGACTGGCATCTGGACCAGCAGTACCACCCAACCAAATGAATTCTCTGTGGCCCATGTTCTTGTGTCAGTTCGCTCTCCAGAATGGCAGCCTTACTAATGCACCGGTCCGAAACTAACTCCCCCTTGGATGTGCCCCGTGTGGCCCAAAGAGGATGCGCTCGTAAGAGGGAACAGAGGACATGGAAGCCGATACTTGGGAACTCTAGATTCTGCCAGATCCAATGAGCATTAAACCAGTGTTTCTGGAAAACGTCTTCTACAGAACTGGCACAAATAGGTGTTGCATGAAAAAGGGGATCGAAAAAGCAGGGTGAAACAACTTTAAATGAATTTCTTCATTGCACAATAGGAATTTCCAAGAGTAAGATGGAGAATGCAGTGTTTTCTCAAAGTATTTCTCACCATGGAACCCCTTTATTGGGAAGCACCTCACAGAACTAGGGTGCCTCAGAAGATACTTTGGGAAACACTGAGTTTTGACAGTTTGTGTGCACTTAGGGTAGGAATGGGTAAGACAGACCTAGATTCACTGCAAACTAGTTACACCAAACCATCTTTTCCCTTTCAGCTGTGGGGACAGCAGTACGAGATGGTGGGTGTAACAGCAACTCTAGTGATGGCCTGAGGAATTATTTCCCAACTCTAATTTTCAAACTTAACCAGGGTGCTTATTAAAGAATGCAGACTCCCATGGAGCTGGCCCAGTGGGGTAGTGGTTACATGCTGCAGCCTGGGGTTCATGGGTTCCCATCCTGGGTATGGACCTAGTATCACTCAAGCCACACTCTGGTGGCATCCCACATAAAACGGAGGAAGATGGGCACAGATGTTAGCCCAGCAACAATCTTCCTCAGGCAAAAAGAGGAAGATTGGCAACAGATGTTAGCTCAGGGCCAATCTTCCTCACCAAAAAAAAAAAAAAAAAAAAAAAGTAGACTCCCATTCGGGGGGGTGGGGCAGGGGTAGGGACCTACTGAATCAGAACCCCAGGGAGGGGCTGGGACTCTGTAACAAGCACCTGAGGAAGACTCACGATCAGCAAAGTTTAGGACATGCTTTCCCTAAGGATACAGTTTGGTGCGTTTGCAGCAGCTTAGCAGCCCACTCTGAAGAAAACCATGAAACGGAGGGCGCCTAGCAAGGGGGTCATGCGGGGCTCTGTGCCTGCTGATCTGGGGACCTGGCACCTGGGAGGCAGCAGGGTTGCCAGGCTAGGACAGAGGGTTACTAGGTAGTCACTGAGCATTTGCCTTCCAAGCTAACTCAAGGCTGGAGGAGACTCAAGAGAACTCACAAGCTGAAAGTCAGGATATCAAGTAAGAGAAGAGAAGGTCCTCGATTCAATTCTTCCACAGTAGCTGACATTTATTGGCACCTACTATGTGCCAGGTCCCACGCGCACTTTATATGTGTCAGCTCATTAATCTCCCCCCACATCCTGAGGTCGGCAGTTTCCGGTGCTCATTTTGCAAATGCAGTGGTTAGGGCTGAGAATGATGAAGCCGCTGCTCAGAGCGCCCGGGTGCTCATGCACAGCTGTGCTCCAAACCCCATGTCCTACCTCCCTTCCAAACACCACCTGTGCTGGACCAACAGATCATCGACCAAAAGTCACTGCTGCAGAGGTTTTCAACGGGCTGCCAGTTAGAGTGGGGCTGGGGCAGGGCACTTAGAGGTGGACTTGGCCGGAAGTCCAGAGTCCAGAAAGGGAAGTGACATTCATCAACAGTTGGGGTGGTGAGGGTCTCAAACCACAGGGACAGTTCCTATTTCTTCTTGTGTGGCAGGCATGGGGCCAAGGACTTAAAAGCACACCGTGTCCCCTTAGCCTCAGAACCATCCCAGAAGCAGGTGAGACCATCACCTCGTTAGCAGCGGGAAGCAGGTTGGTCAGTTACATCCCTGGCCCCTAGGCCTCCTTGCATGACATCTTGCTTGCGTGCTACACACCAGGACTGGGCAAGGGGCCTGATGGACATTCTCTGCTTGAATTTGGGGTAGGGATTGTGAGCCCCATTTTACAGGTGAGGCTGCTGATCCTTGGCAAGGCCATCTCCCAAACTTGGGCTCCCCCCAGCTTCACGCTATGAAGGTGCCACTTGGTGTATCTGACGAGCACAACTGTTGAGCACTCTACATGTGATGTCTCTCAGTCTTTTGAGAAAACGTCAGTATTTGCATTTTTCAGATTAAGAAACAGAGCTTCACAGCGACAATCTTCCTCAAGCAAAAAGAGGATGATTGGCAACAGATGTTAGCTCAGGGCCAATCTTCCTCAGCAAAAAAAAAGAAAAGAAAAGAAACGAAACTGAGCTTCAGAGAAATCAATTGCGGAAGATCACATAGCTAGACACTCAGTGCAGTGTGTCTAGGTGTACGTTTTATTTTATTTATCCTGCTTATGACTCATGGCACTGATTAATCTTTGACCAGTCTGGACTTTGCAACTGTTGTGTCTTTAAATATTATCTTTGCACCATTTGCTCTTCTCATTCTAGAATGCCAATTAATGTGTTCACTTATCTCACTCTATCCTCTACAACCTTTCGTATTTCGTATTTTCTCAGGTCTTTTTTTTTCTTGTTTTTGTCTCTGTGCTACTTTTTGGATTTAGCTCTAGTTCAATAAATCTCTCTTCAGCCGTGTCTAATTTGCTGTTAGCCCAATCATTGAGTTTTTACTTTGGTTATTGTACGTCTGTGGGTTTTTTCCTTTCGTAGCTGCTAGGCTATATTTTAGCTCAGGGGGACCGGCAGATATTTCCAAGCCCTCATTGCATTAGAATCTGTGACGGTTTCACCATCAGAAGCCTTTGTGGGTCTGTTTGTGCTCTCATTTCTGCTGGTTATTGCTCCCGCTGCTTTATTTCCATGCGTGTTTGGTTATTGGACTGTGGACTCATTGTGTGAAAAACCACTGGTGGGGATTCTAAATGAGAGTTCTTTCCGCCAGAGGACTGATGTTTGTTTCTGCCAGACATCTCAGCTCGAAGCACCCCGGAACACAGGGGTGATGCAAACCTGGGCTGCAAAGCTGAGCCGAAGGCCAGCCACTGACCACAAATTCCCAGGGTCTGCTTTTTTCTTTCCTTTGCCCTTGGGCTCCCCTCAGCATTTAGAACATCTCTGCAGTCTCCCAGCTCATCCTTACCCGAGCTTATGGTTTGGTGGGATCCCAGCTATTAGATTCCCCACCTTGGGCAGGCTCTGGCCTTGACTCCAGCCTGCTTCTCCTAGTAAGGCTACAAGGAGCAAACCCAAGTTTGTCCCCATCAGCAAACGCCCTCAGAGCAAAAGTGGTTTCAGGGCCCCATGTACCCTTTCCCTTAAGTGTTTGGCTTACTGTATCCTTAACTGTATTTTATTGGCTATTGCATGCTTTTAAGATTTTTTACTTCCTGTTTTCAGCAGGAGAGCTCAAATAATCGGGCCCTCCCTCCACAGGAAACTGAAGTCCCACGAAACCAAGCTAAGATTCAAACCCAGGTCTCTTTGATTCTAAAATCTAAGTATTAAATAACTACTACGATAGATCCTAATCTCTCTGGAAATTTTGGTTTCTGGTAAGAATGTCAGAGACTTAGGCGCCTCTCAATATCCATTTTCCCCTCTTCTTGTAAACTTGAATTTTTAAAATGTCTTAATTCTCCTTTTTCCTTATTAAATAATTAAGTGAATATTTTAAAGCTTTAATTACAGGGATCCTTAGTAAGAGTTTTTTGGTGGGCATAATGCACCCAGCTAAAAGACTACATTTCCCAGCCCCCCTTGCCGCCCTTCCATATGGCTTTCTGACCAGGGAGATGTATATAGATATAGTGCAGTACTTCTGGGAAGAATGGGGCTTCCCTTCCTGCAAAATGGTGATGGCTGGCATTCTAGCAGCCATCTTGGACCATGAGGATGAGGGCCACAGCCAAGGAAATCGTGAGCTAGAAGGAGGCTGGCTTCCCAGTGACTTCAGAGCCACCATACCTGCCCAAGTGACATAGATGAAAAGAGTCAAAAATAATCTCAGGCTAAGGGACTGGAGTAAGGATCCGCATTCTCTCAACTTTTTCCATCCCGCCACACATGGGCCCATGACCCCTTTCACCCCCCCAGCCCCCTCCCTGAGCAACACACGAAGCAGTCTAGGCCCAGCCTTATAAATATTGATTTTATAGAAAGGACCAATTCAAAATCGGTCAGATGCCACAAGCTAGAAGCTTCCAGAACCACAATGATGAAAAAAAAAAAAAAAGCAAAAAAAACCCCCAAAGAGAACAAACCAAAATACCCCAGACCAAACTGCCTGAAAATCAAAGTCTCAATTGACCAAAGGATTCTAGAGAAACGCATGTGGCTGGGGATGGAGAGACCCCAAGGCCTGAACAACTACTCAAGAGTGGAAGGAAAAACAAGCCAGAAATTCAAACCCACGGTCCCTGCCCAGCGGCCCCCGACGCTGTCAAGAGCGTGGCAAAGGGCTTCACAGCTTTTTTGTGGGGAGAGTGATGGCAATAGCTTAGATCACAGAGGAGGGGAATTTTTATACCTCAACTCTTTTTTTTTCCTCTTCCTCTTTAGGGGAGCTGGAGAGACAGGTAGCTCGAGGTTAAGGAGAAAACAGTGATTTTTACGATTTTAATGGGGAAAACATCTAGAAATGACAGGCTGCCGTGAAATGTGCCAAATTGGATCTGTTATCTGATGGCCCCCAATTCCTAAAGAGGAGGTGAGCCTTGGTGTAAGAGGTTATGAGATGCGCCCACCTTGGCAGCTGCCAGACTCTTGGGAGAACGCAGCTCCAGAGACAAGGAATCGGAGGAGGGAGCGGAAGGGGGCCAGAATGGGGGAACCCTTAAGGAGGACCAAAATTAGCTGCCAGTCTGCTCCCTGCTGGTGGGTCCCTGGGGTGTAGAAAGCGGCAGGGAGGGTGTTGGGGCTGAATGGAGAAGAAATTGAGATGCTGATGAAAAAAAAAACACACCCTACTTGAGGGTCCACGGCCCTGGGTCTGAAGAGTAGAAAACCACTGGGGGTCAGTCAGTCCCAGTGCTGTCTTGGGTTACCCCCCCAGAACCCCGTATCAGTTCTGGAGGGGGATAGGTGCTGCCTGGATGGGGGGGTAGAGGCTGCTGACTCAGTCCTGGCCCTCAGCTCCCAGGGGGAGGGGGTGGGGGTGGGCATGGTGGGCTCTCCCCCCCCCTCCCCCGGCTTCACCTCCCCTCCTCCCGGCCAGCCCGGCCGCCCCCGCCGCCGGGCCCGTTACAGGGCAGCACCCAGTTGTTATCGTGCAGACCCAGGCGGCAGCCAGGCGTCTCGCGATCGGCTCGGCGGCAGCACATCCAGTAGGAACGTCCGTAAGGCAGGTCGTGGTGGTAGGGCTTGGGGTGCCAGCGGCAGAGCGACACGTCACCCTTCTCGTATCTCTTGCGGCACTGCTTGCAAGGGTCATCGCGGTAGAGGGGGTCGCGGCTCCAGCGCGAGTCTGTGGCCCGCACGCCAAACGCCTCGATGATGCCCTTGAAGTGGTGGCAGGTGCACTTGAGGGCCGCCAGGGCCCGAGTAGGCAGGAAGCTGAAGATCTTGACCAGCACGTGCTCGGGCAGCAGCAGCATGTACTGCCGTGGCTCGAGCAGCCTCTGGATCTTGAAGCGGATCTCCAGGAAGTCGTGCGACACGTGCCGGTACAGGCGGCACAGGGAGG